TTTTTTTTTTTTTTTTTTTTTTTTTTTTTTTTTTTTTGAGATAGGATCTTGTTGTCTCAAAAAAGGAATGGCATAGGCCGGGTGTAATCACAGCACTTTGGGAGGCCAAGGTGGGCAGATCACTTTAGGCCAGCAGTTCAAGACCAGCCCAGCCAACATCGCCAAACGCATTCTCTATTAAAAATACAAAAATTATCCAGGTATGGTGTGATATGCCTGTAATCCCAGCTACTCAGGAGGCTGAGGCAGGAGAATTGCTTGAACCCGAGAGGTGGAGGTTGCAGTGAACTGAGATCATGCCACTGGACTCCAGCCTGGGTCACAGAACAAGACTCTGTCTCAGAAAACACATCCAGTATGTCCCCATCACAGGGCCTTTGCACTGGTAGTTTGCTCTGCCTGTGAAATTCCCATAGAAATCCATCCAACTTACTCCTTGTCACCCTGTTGGGGAGGCCCTCTTTAGGACCTTAAATAACAAATGTCTCCTGCATTCCCCATGCTCCTTAACGTTAGTTTTGTTTTTCTTCATATTTATCACCTCGTAACTACTTATTTAAGGCCTGAGTTCTACCACAAGAATAGGAGCAGCAAGAGGGCGTGGATTTTGTCTGCCTCTCCAGGAGCTGCAATAATAATAGATACCTTTTGACTCAATGATGAATATTTTATTACATGTCTGACTCCTTGGAGGTCAGTCAGCTTTTCTCGCTTTATTTCAGTGCATCTATTCTATAATTAGCATGAAAAACACAGCACCTGGCACATACCCTTGTATATAACTGCCACTTAGTAACGAATGAATGAATGTTACCTCCAGGACTTTGCTTATGTTTACTTAATTCCCATCTTCTTGGAATGCCTTTATTTTTCTTCCCACTTTCCCTTCTTCTTTTCTCATTTCTACTCCCTTATCTTTTTCACGTTTCCTCCTGCTCCTCCTCTTCCCTCTCTAACCCTGCATCTTTAGTCGATTCTCTCTCCTGTCTTTCTCCACTCTCTTTTTCTCCTTGCTCATTCTCTCACGTTCTCCTCTCACTCCTCTTTCTCCTACAGAACCATAAAACATCAGAACCCAAAATGGCCTTACATCTAATTTCTCTTGGCAGATATGGAGGAGGAGATACCACAAAGTGGCATGATTTGCTTTAAGGTCACAGCTAGTTTCAGGCCAAATCAGGACTAAATCTCAGGTTATCTCTTTCTTTGTCCTCTCTTCTCTTTCTTTCCTTTCCGGTTTTTTTTTCCCCACTTCTCTTTCTTTAAATTTTATTTGTTTATTTTTGAGATGGAGTCTTGCTCTGTCGCCCAGGCCGGAGTGCAATGGCACAATCTTGGCTCACTGCAACCTCTGCCTCCTGGGTTTATGAGATTCTCCCATTTCAGCCTTCCGAGTAGCTAGGACTACAGGTATGCACCACCACACCTGATCAATTTTTGTATTTTTAGTAGAGACGGGGTTTTACCATGTTGGCCAGGCTGGTCTCAAACTCCTGAACTCAAGAACTCAAGTGATCCACCCACCTTGATCTCCCCCGTGCCCGGCTCTCTCTTTTTTTCTTTTTTTTGAGATGGAGTCTCCGCTCTGTCGCCCCGGCCAGAGTGCGGAGGCACGATCTCAGCTCATTGCAACCTCCATCCCCCACCTCCCAGGTTTAAGTGATTCTTGTCTCAGCCTCCCAAGTAGTGGGGATTACAAGGGCCTGCCACCACACTCCGCTAAT